GATCAAGGTTAAGAAATCTGAAGAAGATTCGATGCACCTCTTCTGGAAGTGAGTCCGGAAGGTGGAGTCCTCCGTTGCTCTGCAGGCTAAGTCTGGAGTTTGATACATCCGTGACTGCTGTACTGGCAGTCTGGTGTCGAAAGAGCTTCTTGTAGTTTTTAGGCATCTTTTTCAAGATTGAAGCTCTGGGGGGGAAAGCACTCCCGGGCGGGAGACTGATCACATTGGCGTTTTGAGGGGGGATTCCCTCGTTGCAAAAAGAAGGATCGGTCGGGAATTGCATGTAGCATTTGGCAAAGAAAGCGTGCTCTGGATCATTTAAATTCAGACCCAAAGAGCTAAGCGTCGGTACGTCTGAAGCGAATCGAAAAGCAGGTCGACCATTGACCAGATCGACAACGGTGACTCCTTTTGCCAGTTCGATCGGACGAGCAAACATAGTGGTCAGGATTACGAGGGCGCCCTCCAAAGCTGCCTCCGTTGGCTGAGTAATGTCAAGATTCAGGAACTGTCTGTAAGCAGGATAGTTCCGTTCAACATCTTCAAAGTAACTATCAAGGGGACCGACCGGTCCGTTCGGAATCGACTTACTGGAGTTGTCTTCCTTGAGGCGCCTGTTCTCGGCTTCAATCTCGCCCATGGTTTCCTGCAGGATCCGCTCGTTCTTTTCTTTCTCCTCGAGCTTCTTCTTGAAGGTACCGAACTCGGCGCTGAGCTCGTTCTGCAGCACCGCAAGTCTGCGCATCTCGTCTTGCGCGATGGCGGCCGCGTGACGCTGCGCCATCTCCTGAAAGTTGGTAGGGGCAGCCCCGAAGGTGGTGGTTTGGTCAGCTAGTGGTGAGGGTTTTGCCCCGGTTCCGAGAGCGGACAGGGGTGCCGCTACGAGCGCGGTCGCGGCCGCGGGTGCGGAAAGCGCGCCTGCCGCGGGCGCGCCCGCGAGTGCGGGGCCAGACGCGGCCGCGAGCGCGGTAGCGAGGTTTTGGTTGATGGGGTTTTGGGGATGGTGTTTCCGTTTCCGTTGGGGGGTGCAAGTGTCAGGTTTCCGGGAGGGTAAGTTTGGGTAGGGGATGGGGCTAGGGGGATGAGGAAGGGGTTCCGGTCGTTGTCTCCGTTTCCGCTGCCGTCGTTCGCCCGTCCATTTCCCGCCAGGGCTCCGCTCGCCGCGATGTTGCCGCTCGCCGCGCCGCCGACGCCGCCGTTCGCCGCGCCGCCGACGCCGCCGCCGTTGATTGTCGCGCCGCCGCCTTGAATGTTTCCGCCGCCCTGGTTTGCTACGTTGGCGCCACCGGCGCCCTGGTTGGCCATCGAGCGGAATGATCTTTGCAGCTTGACCGCCGCAAGCGCCTCATGGTGTCCGAGCAGGCACGCTGCGTCGTCGGAGCAGAAAAGGCCCTTCGTCCAGTAGTGACGGCAGACCCGTTTGTCCTTCGGTTCGTGCGAGTATGCACAGTTGGTGCGGGTACAAGGCTGGTTGCGTGCAGTGAAGACGCAGAGCTCAGTGAGTTTGCCTTCAACGGTGGTGAAGATTGGCATGTCTGCCTGACGCAGGGTGGTGAGGTTTCGAGGGGCCGGTGCTGATGGTCGGACGTACGGAGCACGTGGGCCGGTCGTGCGCTGGTTCATCTGAGGAAAGAATCCTCCACGGATTGGGCCCGGTCCGCCTCGAAACTGAGCGTTCCCACTGGGGGCTCTTCCGCGGGGGTTGTTCCACTGGTTTTGGTTATCAGGCGCAGGTCCGCGCACTCGGGCCCTCGTTATATCTCGGGGGGTTCCGCCACGCGTTGGGCGGTTCCGGTCCCCACTGTTCCGTCCATTCCGGCTGTCCGGAACTGTTCCAGGTCTCCTGTTCCGTCTGTGGTCTGAAAGGAGGTCCCTGTATGGGCGCCTGAGCAGGTGCTGTCGGTCCAAACGGGGGACCAGCTGCCGCCGGAGGGTACGTCTCAGGCGGAGCCTGTTGCGGCGCCAGGGTGGGAGCCGGAGGGGCTGGTGCGGGAGTGTGAATAGGCGCATAAGGCTGTTGAACCGGGGGATGCTGGTAAGCTGGTTGTTGCATGTATGGGGCCTGAGCAATGGTTGGGGGGGCCGGTGCAACTGCCTGAGGTGGCGTGTAAGGAACAGGCGCCGGCGGATTGTACGAAGGAAGTTGTGCACTATAAGGAGAAGGTGCGTGTTGTCCGTATGGCGGGGGTGGAGCGCCATAGGCGGGGGCAACGTATGGGTACGGGAATCCGTACATGGCTCCTAAGAGAACAGGGGGGACAAAGCGTTTGGCTAAGTCATTTGAATTCAGAGAGACATTTTTGGAGGTAGAATTGAAATATGGTCTCCAGGTCCCTTGTATTTGTCACGAGGCATGGATTTCCTCGTTGTGTATTCAGAAATCGTGTCAGAAGTCTGCTCAATTCTTCCTGAGGGTATCTTTTCATAATGATAAGATAAGAGGCCACCTGAGCTGCATTCAGAAGGAAGCCGTCAGGGTATGTGTTCAGTCTGAAGAGCCTTACTACCTCTCCGTAAAAGGTGGAGATTGACTAAGCTTTGGAAACATTGGAGTCAAAATCAGGGAAGCGGTTGACTTGAAACGAGTAATCTGATCTTTTGTCGTGCAGCGTCACGTGCACCACGCCCTCCAAGTCTACATAAATCAGAGTGTCAAGAAGCTTGCATTCGAAAATCCTTCCAGGCTTTGGAATAACCACGTTCGGAACAAGCCTTATTCCCGTTTCAGGTGGGTATATGTCGCGGTACATTTCCTGAAAGCGGGGAGCATTTGCAATCCCAAAGTCGTCCATATACCTGGAAGCCGCATACTGAAGTCTATGGAACGGGTATTTCTCGACCCATTTCGCTCATTGTGGTGACACGGCAGGTTAGCAAGGAACCCACTCGAGTGGCCTCCTTGAGGAATTCCGTTGATTTGATGGTGGACTGAATTACCTAATGTCAGGTAAGAGTGTTTGACGATGTAATCAAGTAGGATGATGATATTCCGAGTTGGATAGACGATTCCCTTGCTACAGCTGTCTTTTTGACTTGAAAGAGACTTGTCCGTAGGGTCAAGTCCTGACTCCGTGTTATGCCAGAAGCATCGATCAACGTGGTTCCCTAAAGAGGTGTTGCCAATTACGACGAAAAAGCTATCTGCTTCTGCAATCTGAGCGGCTCGTTGAAGCTCTTCAGCAGTCGATGAGATGACACTTGTCTGGTTCATGTTCTGGTACATTGAATCAATGTCCGAGGAAAACATGTGTGTGAGCGTTTCGGGAAGCGAACGTAGAATATCCAGACTGTTTTGAACTATCCAACACTTTCTGATTCTGGTTTCTGCATATTCCTTTTCGTGGAAGGAAAGAAGCGTATTCATAACCAGACCCAAGCACTGGGTAAGGACTCTTTGGGGGACAGAAAGTACTGACCTGTGGGTGGCCGAAACCGGTCTCCACTTGACGGGATTTTTGTGCACTTTGGGAAGCGTGTAGAAGTAAGGCAATTCCCCGGAATCTTCCCGTAGCACTGCGTCCAATTCGTTCATACTCTGGGGCGTCGTGCAGGGCAAGTTGGACGCAAACTTTTTTGTACAGGTTTTTGCATACAATGAAGTAGTTTCCTCGGCACTTGTCAGCTTAAAGGAGGACGTACTTGCTGAGGATCTGTTTGAGTTCGTTTTCATGTTCTGCTATTTTCCCCGGGGCGGGGAAAAGTAGACTTTGAAGATTGATCTCACCAGCTCTATCTTTCTGGACCAGGCTATTTGCCCTTTGTCTGAAGGCTTCAGAGACTCTTTTGCATATCCATGAATCAGCAAGGACGTGAGGCTTTCTTTCAAACAACTCACTTAGAGCGCTGTTCAGTGCGTCTATGGCGAGCTTGAGATCTGCGTTCGGAGTTTCTCTAAACATTGGACCTCTTTGTACTAGTCTGTCGAGTATGACAGGATTTGAGATGATTTTATCAAGGTCACCAGTGGCCAGGTGACCCTGTAATCTGGACTCTCCGATGAAATCATTTGTACAGTGGCAATGGAGAGTGTAGTCCTCAAAGCGAGGGTTGATAGCATTGATCCAGATGTCATAGTCAACATTCTGAAGAGTCTCTTTGTATAATGACTGGAAGACTTTTTGAGGTGGCTGTGGATATAGCCATCTCAGTTGCAATCCCTGATAAGGGTTCAGATATTCGCAGTCGTGCAGGATCTCTCTCAAGTCTACTAGGTTGAACCATTGATTCTCAAACGAAACCAGGAGCCATGGCTGGTCTGTTGTCTGAGAGTCCGGATCTGATACATAATATAGAATCCGGTCTCGTTGAGCTGAGCGGAACTGCTCCGTTTTGAACAGCAATGGAGCGGAGACTTAGTGACTGACCTTGATCAGTATTGTTGCCTTGGAGAGTGGCTTGTTGTCCTTCGAAGACTGAAGGACCTCTCCAGAAGAGCCCGGCAGCCAGACTGCTTCTTGAAGAGGTAGGCACACGACTGAAAAGAGAAGTGTGTCTGCGAGGATGCAGAAAAGCAGCAAACTTTGAAGGATTCGCTGCAAGGAAGAGTATGAATTGGCTAAACCGGAG